AAAAAAAAAAAAAAAGCGGCAGCCATGTTCATGCAAATGCCACGGGGGATATTTAAATCCCCCGCGGCATTTGCAATTCCGACTGGTCTCATTAGCATCCCTTTTCCGGAAAGGGGTGCCAATGTAGACACAGCCTTAGTGTTTAGAGGAGTTTCCACACTCAGCACCTCCCTTTTATTTCCTTCCACTTATGCCCTCATATTATATTTGCCTCTAGTGTGATTCAGAGGGGGTGTGTCTGTAGAAAAATTACATCTCTCGGCATTATGTAATCAGACCAAGATCATCTCTTCAACTATACCCACTTACTCTTCTTTCAAACTGACACTACATCCATCCCACGGAATCTTGAGTCAGTCGTGTTTCTGATTGGTTGACTTTGGATGTGCTGAATTAATCAACATAAACTAAGAGGTCTACGTTACTGTGCCCATTGTATTCAATCCTGCTTCCCTTCTTGCTCAATCCCGTGCTATTATTTTTTCATTGTCATACATTTAGATGGGGAAAAGCAGTCCCATCTTCTCCACCCATTTTCTCAGTCTAATGGGAGGTAGATCCTGTAGATCCTTTTGGTTTTTTTCCCCTTCCTATGCTTATTTTATTACCTACCAGAAGATTTACTGTGTTGCTCGGGTCCTCATCTCAATTAACTTTTGTTTTTTGGAAAACAAAATGAAAATGTACCTGCTTCATTTAAATCATTGCTCTGGGGTGGGGCGGGAGATGAGGGGTTCAGTTTGCGGGCTGCCCTAGGGGAGAGGACTTGCCCATCCCTCTCTCACCACTGCCGCTTAGGGACAGGTGAGAAGTACCTCTCTATGCCTGCTGCAACTCCAGTGGGCACAGCTGGGAGAGGGGTATATATTCCCCCAGCTGGTGTGAATCCAGGCTTGGCAGCCTTCTGTGCTCCCCAGCTAAAGTGAAGAATGCAGCAAACTGTGTACTTTCCCCTCACTCCCTGATCAAAGGGAACAGCCAACAACCTCACCATATGAATCGGGGGAGGGGAGAACTTCAGGACATCCATTAAAGGCCACCTGGAGGATGAGAGGCTCAGGACTGGGGCAGTCCTGGATGAGGGTGAAGGAGGCACCCCAGCCAGCCCTTTTCACCTGCTGGTGATTTTTCTCTCTCTTTTTTTCTGGTTTTCAGAGAAGCAACCTCATTCCAGGCACATCCCATTTTCCTGGCACAACAAAACCCTTGCGTAGCTTTATCTTACAAGAGGAAGCTGTAAACTGAATTTGGTGGTCCTAGCTCTTACTGTTGAGAAGAATATCTTTAACAGATGGATAGATGGACAATCTCAGATAAATACATCGTAGATACCAGTGTTTACAATGATTCATCTGTGGACCAGAACTGGACTCTGAGATCTACCTGACAAAGCTTAGGAAGGCAGCAAGCTTTGAGAAATACTGACATATACCACAACAACTGGGGGGTGTCTTGCACAGCCTTTCAATAGGGCTACACTGGCAGCTTCTTGCGCAAGAACTCTTCTGCAAAAACTCTTCCGCAAGAGAGCGTCTACACTGGCATGTGCTTTTGCGCAAGAGCATCCATGCCAGTGTTGACGTTCTCTTGCGTAAGAAAGCTCTGATGGCCATTTTAATCATAGGGACTTCTTGCACAAGAAATTCATGTTGCTTGTCTACACTGGCCTCTTCTGGAAGAGCTCTTGCACAAGAGGGCTTCTTCCTGAGAGGGAGCGTCAGAGTTCTCGTGCAAGAAGCCCTGATTTTCTACAGTACAATGTCAGTTTACTTGCACAAGAACGCGTGGCCAGTGTAGACAGGCGGCATGTTTTTGCGCAAGAGCAGCCGTTTTTGCACAAGAACGTACCAGTGTAGACACAGCCCAAGAGTTTAAATGGAATCGTCCAAGTACCCCTCAGCATCAGGGAGAGGGTGCTGACATGAGGGATATATTATTTCCTTAATAGTACTGCTGTAGGTTTTTTGGGTGGAAATGATAGCGCATACGGGGCGTGTGGGGTTTTTTGTCTCTGTTGGAAGCTCAGTGTTATCCATCCTGGGCAGGAACTATCCTCCAGTAGGAAAGTGCATCTTGTCATGAAATTTCAAGGGCTGTACCTCTAGCTCTGTCTACAGTGATTCCAGATTTCTAGGAAATCCCCCTCGATTGAGGCCTGTGAATCATTTGGGCAGCTATATGAAAATGGAAATCTTTGCTGAGAGGAAGTATTTTTATCTGTTTTTCCCTCCTGATGAACTTCACATTAATAACTATAATTTATATCCATAATGCACAACAGTTTGACTTAAATATGAACCTTGGCTAGTGCAAGATCAAAATATGATGCTTAGTGTAGTAGCCATGGAAATTCAAAACTTAAGTTAGTTAAGAATGGTTCAGAATGTAACTTGTGTTGATATTCAAATAGCATGTGATTTGGATGATGCCTTCATATCATTGTTCATTCTTTACTGCTTATGCTGTCTCCTCCTGCAACATTACTGAGTTCATACTCACCTGTCTGAATTGGATAAGATGGTGCAAAAATATCTGGTGCAAGGAGGTGGCCATGCTACTTGCTGGTAACCATTCTCGTCAAGGGGGAACACCCCAAAATAGAGTTTTCTTTCTAAACATTTCGACTTGGATTTAGGCGATGTGTCTGCTTAATTCCTATTAATTTTAATAGAAATAGTTTGCCCAAATCTCAGCCCGCTTTCTGTCCCAACCCCACCCCAGCTAAATATTGCAGATTAACTAAAGCAGAAGTGGTTTTGTATTGCTGGCTGAACATGACTAATAACTGTCTTCTCTCCTTTTACTAAAAAATGGGAAACTGAAGATGGACCAAGATGCTTCCTCCTATGTCGTGCTCAGTGTGGGTAACAAAACTCTGAAAAGCAAGGTGAGAGGCTGCTGAATACTCCTGTGGTCTGGAAACATGGTTTTTTATGTGAAGATATGTTTGCTGCTTAGCTGGCTTAAAGCAACTAGTGAAAGTGGTAACTGGAATTAGATAGACAGAGTTGTGTGGCACACAGATTACATATAGAAGGACTGCACTACTTCACGCATGGCTTTGGTTTGTATTTCAAGTAAAGCTTGAATATAGAAGTATTAGGTGTGGTTTTAAGTACCTGTTGTACAGACACATTTTATGTGGTGGTTTAACTGGATGCCGGGGGCCAATGCTGGCTTGTTACTAGAACACAGAGCCAAAAGCAGTGGCTTCTCAATTTTTTTTTTCATAGAGTGGTTCAGCTCACTCTTACATAATGGTGTCATCACATGAACCACATCCCTTTTCATGAGTGCCAGGCTGCTATTGGCCCCTGTTGTTCAAATACATTTTCCTCTCTATTTATATTTGAAACAAATTCCCATCACCATCTCTTGCCTTCACTCTGTCAAATTAAAATGTTTTTTCCCGCTCTCCTCCTCGATCTATTTACTCTTTGCAATGAGTTTCTTCTCAGTTAATCAGTTCTCACCTTGACAGACACCCATTAACTCCATTCTGCTTACAGCCCTACAATCACTTTTATCACAAGTACATTTTGCTCACCTTCAAATTGAAGTGAATCCCATTTCTCATACACACAAGCTCAATTTGCCTGCACTGAAATTGAAATATTCTCCCATTATCATTTCCATTCCCTCTGCCAGTGAAATTTTGGTTTTACCCTAATCATTGCCCCTTTAGCTGTTTTCAGTCCCTTCCCAGATTCTCACTTCAGTCATCTTCCTCCTCCTCATCAGTTCTCCCTTCTCAGGCATCCTTGATGCTCCTCTCCCATCCCCAACCAGAGTGCCCTGCCAACAGTGCTTTTGGGGCTGGCAGAGGCAGTCCATTTGATGGAGCAGATTCAGCAAAGACCCTGCTGGCAGTCCCAGCTCTCTGCATTTTATGAGGAATAAGGGCTCTTCTGAAAGAGGAGGTTTTTCCCACATTTCCCCCGTGCAGCGCACAATTCGCGTACCTTTTTCTGAAAAAGAACTGCAGTGTAGACATTGCCTGAAATGGTCTCACAAAAGGGATTAGAGCAGGGGTAGGCAATAATTTTTAATGAGCAGCCACTTCAAGAACTCGGTAAGTGGTCAGGGGCCATACTCTTTGATGTCAATGGAAGAGATAGAGTAGGGGGGCAGAAGAGAGTGTGGAATCCGGGAGGGAGTTAAGGTGAAGGGAGGGGGTTGTGATTTGGGGTTGCAGGATCCAGGAGGACATATGGGTGCAGGAGGGAGATGCAAGGTCTGGGAGGAGGTTGTGACCTGGATAGGGGTGCAGGTTTGGGTTGTGTCCTGGGACAGCAAGACCTTTAGGAAAGCTACCTGCCTTCCATGCCCTCCCACCACCACCACCACCACCACTCAAAATGGCCAGCTGCAGGGTCCATATGTTCTGAGTGCAGCTCCCATTGACCAACTTCCAGCCAATGGGAGCTGCAAGATTGTGCTGGGGTGCACAAAGCCTCTGCCCCTGAGAGGCTCACAGTGTGTAGAACACGTGGCCCCTGCAGCCAGAAACTTTGAGTGGTGTGGGGGGCTCAGAAGACTAGGATCCTATCCAAGGCTCCTGCTGGGCTGCAAGACTGGTGGCAGCAGGCCAGATCTGGCAGGTGGCAAGCTACATACTGACCACTGCGTGGGCTTGTGGACCCCAGCCTGAGAATCTCTGCTCCAGCCTCTATCCTTCATTCCTACCGGCTAGTACCCAGTGGAATTCAGTGCTAGTGACTGTGAAAGCCACTTCCTGTTATCTGGGAGGTTCCACTTAGAAGCAATTTGTTTGCTTTTTGGAGACACAAAGGAATCCTGCTGTCTGCAGGTTGTGGGAATGCTAGTCAGAGTGGATTATAACCTGGCTGACCTATCTTGGCACTCGCTTGTTCTGGCTTTGCCAGCCAGAGACAGCATTTGTGTACATGTCTGACTGGGGAATTTCATTCTCTCTATGGCTATGTCCACACTGCAGTAGTTTTTTGGAAGAGGAAATGCAAATGAAGCGCTCATTTGCAAATCTCGTGCTCTCATTTGCATTTTCTCTTCCGGGTGTTTGAGGGGAAAAAACCCCACAGTGTAGATGAGGCCATTTGTCAGGGAAAAAAAACCTTTTGCGCAAGATCCTGTAAGCCTCATTTTTTAAGGAACAAGGGATCTTGCGCAAAAGGGTTTTTTCCTACAAATTACCCTGTCTACACTGCGGGTCCCCCCACCCCCCGCAAAAATCTCTTCCAATCCTTTTTGCGGAAGAGAATATGCAAATGAGAGCACGAGACTTGTAAAGGAGCAAATTTGCATTTCTTCTGAAAAACTGCTGCAATGTAGACATAGCCTATGGGTTGGATAGAGCATTTGGCTAAAACATGGTACTGGAGGCATGCCCATTCCTACATCATTGTTCTGTGTACAGGCAGTCCCCGGGTTACATGGATCCGACTTACATCGGATCCCTACTTACAAACGGGGTGAGGCAACCCCGCACTAGCTGCTTCCCCCCAGCAGGCCAGGGAGACGCGAAGCTAGCGCCCCTCCCCCAGCAGACCAGGGAGACGCGGAGCGGCTTTTCTCAGCAGACACCTCAGCTTGAGAATAAAGGACTGAGGGAAGTGAGGTGTGGGAGAATAAAACTGAGCTCTGGAGAAATGTTTGGCTAGAGTTTCCCCTACAATATGTACCAGTTCCGACTTACATACAAATTCAACTTAAGAACAAACCTACGGTCCCTATCTTGTACGTAACCTGGGGACTGCCTGTATAACCCCAACTTAACACTTAGCTGAGAACAAACAACTAAAATTCCACAACCCTGCTCTTTCTACAGACCTGCAAATTCAATAAAGATCCGATGTGGGGCCAGGCTTTCACATTCTTCGTCCACAGTGCCCAGTCCCAGTCGCTTCATTTGGAGGTGAGAACGGATGTGCTTCCCTTTCTTTGTCTGAATGTATGGTCTGCCTTTTGATGTCTAGTTACGGTGGATACGGCCTTGATTCCGTCCTATACATGCTTGCTGGGACTTGTGTTTAAGCTGGAATGCAAGCAGTCATTGGATGTGTGCGCTCCCTTTTGGGGAAGAATGTCTAAAGGATTAATTAAATCTTTGGTCCCTGCAGAAATGTCTGTGCCAGTTCTGCTGCTTTGGGTCCCTCTCTACTTAGATGTATGGGATTTGCTCTTAAAGTATATTAACTGATTGTGCTTTCTGGAATGTTGGCATGGTCCTGTTCGAATGCAACCATATTCTCTAGTAGGTCCTACAGTGGACCAACCTCTTCTTTCCGGGTTTTTGGTCTGCTAGACTATTCCAAACTTCTTCTAGCTTTGGTGTATATTACATATATAGCAATTTTGCCTTCCAATTAAAACCTCCTTCTTTTCCAGATAAAAGATAAGGATCGGCAGAATGTGCTGGGAACCTTGGCTGTATCTCTCTCTCACTTGCTAAAGGATTCTGAGATGACTCTGGATCAGAGATTTCAGCTGGATCAGTCTGGTTTAGACAGTTTTATTAAGATGAAACTTGTGTTACGGGTATGTTTTAGTCTTCTATATACTCTCTTTACTGACTGTCCTAGCAGAAGCCTGAATGTTACTGAAATAAACAGATAAATCTCTACACAGGCTATGGCGTGGATAAAGTTTTAAATCTGTGCACCCCAATAAATAATAATTGCTAGAAGTAATGAAATTATATTTAGGCTTAACAGCACCTGAATAAAAACCACACGAATCTGTCCAGAAAGATAACACCCAAGCTAAATGGATCGGATTTCCTAAATTAGTTAATGCAAACATACAGAAGAACTAAATAAGATTTAACTCATGTACTGGATGTCCTTGCCCTACCCACTAGCATAGGATTTTTTTTTACAAATTGTGTATATTTAAGAGAAACACTTCACATTCTCCTCGCTTTATCATTTAACTGCTAGACTAGGGTGTAAAATAATATAGCAGTGGTAGCAGCTCTAACATTAAAATAAGATGCTAGTTTCAAACTTAATTTATCCTAAAAACTGGTCCTTCTGAAATATATGCTGCATCTCATCTCAGTTGGTGTGTGTTTTTGGTCTCATTCCCTCCTCCCCTGGAAATTTTGCTAAGTCAGAATTTTGAAGGTAGGGGCCAGTATTAATTAAAGCCTAAAGTTAGGCTGCTAAAATGAATATTTAAACACTTAAATAAGTGACCTGATTACAAAAGTGGGAAACACCCAGGAGCCCCAATGGCTGTCTAGGCCACATATATAAAATAAAAGGCCTAAATTTGCATTCAGTAACCTAACAATAAACAAACTGCCCCAATATTGACAATGGTTTGTTAGGAAAGGAGACCAGTAAGACCAACAGGAATTGGGGTACTATTAAGCTAGGTAGATCCAGTCAGGCAGGGACTAATCACTTAGTGTGCATATGAAAGCGCTTACTTCCTATCTTCTCTTATGAAACCAGAGACTCTCATTTCAAAAACACTGACTATTTCCAGGTTACTAACAGGAAATGAGTACTGTGCTACTCAGAATGTACATGCACTTAAAGGATGATATTCTCTGTATTTCCTGGTTTTAGGTCTTGTGCATCAAGGAACCTGATCCACAAAGCAACAATACTGGTGGCAAAGCTCTGAAGCAAGTTCCTGTACCTGCTGCAGAGAAGGGTGGAAACCAACACAAAAGTCCCCTCCCACCAAAAATAGAACCCTCCAAAGTATCCCATGTGAGCAAAGACTCTGGAGTGCCTGAAGCCAAAGGAGCTAAAAAAGAGAGCACTGCAGGCCTTACTGTAATTGAGCACCCAGCAGGATCTGCTGTAAATGAGAATTCTGCTGAGTTTAATGCACCAGCAGGTTCACAATATCTGGAACCACACCCGTTGGTGACTCTACCAACAAGAAAACTGGAACACAGTGCTGCTCCCAGTGTTGCTTCACTGAGCTCTTTTGCCACTTCATGCTTTGAATTAGACAGCAACCTGGCTCTTAAGTATGTATCCTACATTTGAATTGTGCTTTACCTTGTCATCCTTTTTTTTAATAGGCTTCCACCATGTACACGACTATTTAAGTCAGTAGTGGGCTGAGGTTTCAATTCCAAAGATTTAGCCAGGAACTTCTGTAAACATTTCAGTCAGTAGCTCTCCAGAAGCTTATTTGCTTCTGAGATCAAATTCAAATCTGTGTAAGCAGATGCAGCTCCTTGCCTTTATATATTCAGGGGAATTGCATCTCCTTACATGAAGGTTATGCATTTAAGGCACTCCACATGGTTCACATAGCAAGTCCTACATCCCATCATTGAGAAGTACACTTGTCCTTGGGTACAATAAGCATATTTTGGGGTTACAGGTAAGGATAGAACTTCAGGTGTTACATATACTAAAGCAGAACCTTGTGATGCAAACAGACAAAATCAAGTAGAAATGGGTTGTGCCCACAAAAGCTCATACCACCATCTACATGTTTGTTAGTCTTTAAGGTGCTGCAAGACTATTCATTGTTTAAGTTTTTCCGGTTACAGACTAACTTAGCTACTCCTTTGAAGCTTCAACGTCAAGTAGGTTTGGCTGACTTTTTTTCCCCCCAGTTTTGAAAACTGAATAACTTTGAATGGTTTTCACCATCAATGCATGGATGGTCTCATTACGAGGCTGGAAAACTGTGTACGAGCCAGTTCTGCCATTAGGTAAGGTCTGACCCATAGGAGTCAGTGGGAGTCCTATGCATCTGGTTCTGTATAATTAACTCCTTTTACATGAACTGAAAGTAGCACAGAAATTTGTCAAACAAGTAGAGGCATCAAACCAATTTCAGCTATTTAAGGCAAATTAAAATAGAAAATTCTTATGAATCTCTGCTGCTGTAGGACACTGCCTATGTCTCAGGGACCATTTAGCATTCCAGGTGATGTACAAAGACATGATACCAAACTAATCCACAAATGGAGGATTACACATTGTACTGTAACTTATTAAAGAGCATTTACAATAATCAAGCATTTAAATTCTTTATGGAAGCATTTGCTGTCATCCTTATGCTACACTAATAGCAAGAAAAGATACCAATATAATAAATCAAATGACTGTCTTCAACATTAAAATTAGCATGGTTTCATGGTTTCTATTTGTAGGAACAAATGGAGAATACCAGAAACAGGTAAGTGCTGTGCTTTGAAACCTGGGTTTCCATTTCTGAAGTTGAAATGCAAGATCTGTTTTGGTGAATGACTGATTCAATGAGACACTTGATTTCAATGCATTTTTATGTAGATTTTCCCCACTGACCTTTTTTCCTAACTGAAAATGTACCTTGACCCCCTGTATCTCCTAGCGCACAGTGTGTACTAATCTTGTGTGTGCATCCAGATGCTAAATAGCTGAAAATCCTGAACATGTAACTTTCTTACAGTGGAACAAATCTAACTGGAATGCCCCTGGGAGAGATCCAGCTCGCTGTGCGATACGCCTCTTTGCGACGCAGTCTCATTGTGATGATAAATGGCTGCAGGTAACACGTATAGACTGTTGTTTGCATCTACCTATAATCTAAATGAGACTAGCTTTTCCTGTACAAGTTAATGCTTCATTTCAGTATGTGTATCTCATGCAGCATATGTAACAGCAGTGCTAACACTGCTGTAAGAAACACTTGCCGACTCCAAACTCTAATTTTACTAGGCATAGGAAAACTAATTGCCACATCTCAATCCAGCAGTCTGACAATGACTGGTACAGCAGGTTCAGTGGAAAATGTCCTATCAGATGTGTTACTATATAGACACATTATGGAATTATGTGCCTATACAGTATCTTTACTACCACTAATGGTTGGCATGTGCCCTGAAACACAAGGGGTACCTGCCTTGATTCTCAAGAATAGATACCTATACTTAGCTACCTCTAAGTGGCCTCATTATTCAAAAGCAGTGTGTAGTCAGCAAGTCTAAAAACTTTATAGAACTGAATTTGGAATACCACAAATCATTCCTTGCTTACAAACCACCACCAAGACTATTTTATCCGACAGCCTAAGTTTGGCTTATTACTAGAATAAACCCAGTAAAGAGCTTCTCTAGTGTATCAACACAGACTTGTCTTCTTTTAAAAGAAACTTGATGCCACCTTCTAATCGTGGAGTAGATCCATATGTTCGTGTCTACCTGCTTCCAGATAAAAGACGGGCAAGCAGAAGGAAGACTACTGTTAAGAAAAAAACATTCGACCCCCATTATGATGAAAAGTAAGTAGAAAACTTAGAATCACTTAGTGCTGAAATATTATGGACAGAAAAAATTAAACTGGTTATTCTAAAGCTCTTTAGCAGGCACTCCCTACCCAGTGAAATAGGTTGCATAGCTGTATGCATCTGTCATGCATAAAGGACTATGATGCAAAGACTATAGGAAAAGCTGTAATAGGTTTTTGTTGGGGACTGGAATTTGCTTGTAATTAAGGTTTGATATTTCCCCGCATACACCAGTCTTCCCTGTATTTCTGGGGTAGTGATGGGCAACTGAGGCTAGTGAGTGAACTACCTGAGGTGCCCCTCCATCTCAATGGGCTGCCAGATTGTCATAACCAAGACAGCAAAACTGTCCTAACCCAAGAGATTAACTGCCCTTGTGTACCTAGAATTTTAGGGTGTGCCAACTGAACCATAGCCGTGCTATGACATAGCCGTGCACACTCTGCATCCAGTCAGTGTTGAGTGCAATCAGCATGCACCTCACTTCCTTGCCCTGGCTGTGTGTGTCACTCTAGTAATACTGGTAAGAAAAACTGTGGATGGTGTGACGGCGCATTGGGGTTTTCCTGTCTCCTGCACCCCTGTAGTGGCACGAACAGACTCCAGTAGAATAGAGGGAGTTTATTGCTTCTCCAGGATACAGCACAGAGGTAATCTGGTTACAGGAACTGGGGCTAGGAGGCCTCAGTGCCCCCGCCCCCCTTGAGATGGGGGGTGGGGTGGCTGGGCCCTTCAGTCCCAGCCCCACTCCCTAGCTCCTTCTCCCCTGCTTCCCAGACAGCAACTTCGTTAACCCACTTCCAGCCCTGCCCCCAGTCAGGGCTCCACTCCCCTTCTTCCCATTGTTCCGCTCCCTGGGAGAACTCAGACAGGTTTGAAGCCCCCTTGCATGACGACTCATCCCCTGCCCTGCTGCAGCCAGTGGAGGTCACTCACAACCCAAGTCTAGCAACCAGCAAGGTACCCATACTAAGTCACAGGTGGAAACTAGTGAAATCTGGCAATCCTGTCCATAGGCACCAGTAAACAAAATGTTTCACTGGCCATACAGAGAGCCCCCTGATGGGCCAGAGGTTGCCCACCACTACTCTAAGGCCGTCCTTCCCAAAGTTCAAGTAATGCTGAATGCTGCTGCTTGACTCTTACTGTGTATGTGCCTGTTGTATTCTGTGTCCCTATTGGTCTCTCTCGGCATTAATCTCTTTCTTGTGGCACACCAAACCAACCTTTTTCTCTTTAATCAGACCCTTTCTTAGAAGCCCACTGACTGCTTTCACAAAGAGTTTAAAAATGTGTAAGTAACTTTGTTTGCATAGGGTCACACACAGTAGTGCTTAGCACATTAGTAAGACATGCTACTCAACTGTTTGGCCAACATTTTTTAAAATGACTGAGTGCCTCAGTTTTTGGAATCCCACACCTTGACACTGCAGAGCTGTTCATTGCTTTTTGAAAATCAAGAGAGACCGCTTAGGTAGGCACACAACCAGTAACTATTTAAAAATCTTGTTTTTGTTTAAAGCTGGGGAACTGCTGTTTTTTATTCCAAGGATGACTGCTGTGTATATGTGTGTCTGTTCTTTCAAACTCTCACCACTGCTATCAGGAGCACTTCCTCTTCTCTCCCACTCTTCTTTCCAACATCAATTGTCCTGTACTACTTATAATGCTGTTCATGAAATACATATTTGCTATCTCAAAACACTTCACCTTAATCTGACTTCTGGAAATACTATTTAGCAATGATGAAACTCGCTTCCTCTACAGCACCTCAGCAATTTTGTCCTCTGGTTTAAGCATATGCTAGAATTGTGACCAAGAAGTCAGTTACCACACTTCTTCCTTCATAGGCTAAGTTTGTTTCAGAAACACGCCCTCACGTGTGACAATTGGATTGTGAGCTACTTCCAGCTGATGGTTGTGTGTTATGGCTATTTTGCTTCTGCATGTGAGGGAAGAAACTGACAAATAGCAAATCATTCCAAAACACACATCTTCTGTATTGCCATTGTTCTCCTGTACTGAAGAGTGCTCATCAGCCCTCAAATGATTATCTAGAAGAGATCTGTTTAACAACTAATACGATTAAACTATAGAAATATTACCACAGACAAGTAGAGGGATCTAGTCTCTAGTGAACTGGTAGGGTATGAGCCTTTCAGATTGGTGCAAGTTGCTCTGAGCAAATGTTAGGGTCCAAAACAGCAGTTATATGTTTGTATTCAAATGGATAGTGAAGTTCTCAACCTTTACCATTTTGCTTTGTACTGTATACTGTACCTTATCCCAGAAAGCACAGCTATGACGACACTCCTGCAATACTAGTTTGTTCAGTAGTGGCTGTGAAGTTTTGTTTTATTATTACTGTTTGACTTTGCTTCTGGTCTCTTGGCATGCACTTACATTTTTTTTTTTTTTTTTAGATTTGAATTTTTTGAATCTTTGGAAGAAGTCAAGAAAAGGACACTAGACATTGCAGTCAAAAATAGCAGATCGCTTATTTCACGTGAAAGAAGGGAATTGGGAAAAGTAAGTTAAATTATGAAGTACTATTCAGTTTTAAACAGTCTTTCCCATGGAAGCTGACTGTACCTCTGTTCATATTCTTTTGTATAAAACTTTCTTTTAAACTGTTTTCTGGCCCTTAGTATCACAGGCGATTAAAGCTTTCTGCCATTAACTTGGAGTTTCAGCAGCTCAGGCTAGCCAAGGAATAATTTTTATTTAAAAAGTTTTGCATGTTTGGAAAAAATGTACGACAAAATAGGATGAAAAGCCACAAACTCAAACTTTTGTGGAACTGAAATTCTGCAATACTACTTTTAGTAAAGAGCAAAATATTTTCACTTCAAAAATATGGCCCTTGGTAGCAAATGAATCTGGGTTCCCCTTGCAACTTGAGTAACTTTCTGATGGAAGTTTTCTGGCAAAAGTGAAATCTCCCCAAGCAGAAGAGTGAATTTTCTACCCCTTGCTCTGATGGACAGCTGCTCAGAAATTGTCCTCAGTGCTGAGGATGGTAACAGAATGCTTGAAGCTCAGTTCCTTGCAACAGAAGCACTGATTGGCTGTAGAATTTTGACTGGATAAGAAGTTAATTATACATTTAAGCTTTGCTCACTCTTGCAAGTTTAATGCTGACTATAAAATATGGCATTTTTTAAAAGGTGCTGATTGACTTGTCAAAGGAAGATTTAATCAAAGGCTTCTCTCAATGGTAAGTCTGTCTTTACAGCTTCAAAGCTTGCTAAATAAGCTGTATCTTAAGTGAAACACCTTTTATTATAAGTGTGCTACTTGACTTCCAAAATTATGGGCATGTGTTTTGTAACTTGAGTGAATAGTTAAACTGCAAATGTACAATTAACTTGAATTCGCTTGAATAAGGAACCAAATTTAAATGGTTAATTTATTTTCATTTCAAGCATTAGTTTTGTACAGGCAGTCCCCGACTTACGTCGGATCCGCACTTATGAACGGGGCTTTCTCGCCCCGGAGGTCGAGGTGCGGATTGCTACCTGCGAGCTCCGGGGCGAGAGAGCCCCGTTCGTAAGCTGCTCCGGTGCCCCTGGTCTGCTGGAGACCATCTCCAGCAGACCAGGGGCATCGGGCGGGTTCCCGCGCTTCTGAGGCTTTGCCAGAGCAAAGCCTCAGAAG